ATTTCATAAGTGCCAGCAACATCTTGGGTCAATTCATTTTCATTGCCTGAAAAATGACTAGTAAAAGTCTATCCTCATGAATGTAACGTATAGAGATAGCATTCAGAAGATTATTTTACGAAAATTACCTGTTAGATCGTTGTCGTCAAAATACTCTTCATCAGTTAGGTCATCTCCCGTTGGAGGAATAATAGCAACGTCAATTTCATTATCGGTAATATTTTCCAATTCGGCTTCCAATTCATGTAAAGTTAGGGGTCTTTTTGGATTATTTTTCCACTTATTTTCACACATTTTAAAGTTAGGAAATCGAAATCAGTGTTTATTTACATTTATATCATATTTATTAACTGTTTTATGACAATTCTTAAAAGTTAGGTTAGAAAAATTTTCTTTTAGTTTGTATTTTTACGACAAGGGGCTCGGTCGTTAGTGCGACAAGGTAAAACTTCAAAATTATTTTTGCTCTATTCTGGAGCAAGTCACATGTCACCGTTTTATTCCCTTATACTACTTCGCGATGTCACCCCTCGAGTTTAGAAATATACTGTCAATATAAAAAGTATCAAAATAGAAATTTATTGCCTTATACCGCCAACGTTGCGAATACGCAACATTAAAATTAGTTGTTCTTATTAAAAATTTTTTTTTTACAAAAATGAAATTTACGTCAATATGATCCGAAAAGATAATAGTTTATAATAGACATGACAAAATCTAGAAATTGTTAGTCACTCGTCGCAAATAAATTTCAAAGTACAGTGCTGCAGAATACCTAAAAATCGGCAAAATTCAAAATTTTTTTTTTTAATTGTAATGAAAATTGTGCCAAACTAAAATTTTTCCCGAAAGCTTCATAGTATACTCGAATTACTACCAAATAATTGAAACTCTAAAATAGCTGCAAACGGTTAAAAAACAATTGTAAACAATATGTTGCGTTTACGCAACGTTGGCAATTAATGGGTTAATACTGGATCAACCACGTCCATCACCTCATATACCAGTGGTTTTCTTATTAATACTGATAGGCCTCCGTAACCATCTTCTCTAAGCTTTTTTATATGGTAGTAGTTAGGTGTTGTTACACGCATGTTTTCCTTTAACCAGGTTTCACATACCACTATAACATCTTGTTTGTCGTCCTTTAAATATCCAAAAAGGCTAGGTTTATTTTTGATGATACTTCTAGAATTCCATGTCATGATTTTTAAAGTTTTATTAATCATTGTTTAGTATATTATAATAGTTTGGATGTGCGTATGCGTGGCAAAGTATTATGTTGTGTTTGCCCGTTTGTTCGGTGTCCATCACTTTGTTTCGGTTTTTGGATTGTTGAGCGGTTTAGGCCTCCTATTCTGGAGCTATTTTCATTCTCTTCATACTGCATTTCAAGCTCTGATTGGATTCCTGCTCTGAGCTGGACCCATCGCTGTCTTCTTATCGCTGTTAAAAGTGTACAGAAGGTCTTCTGGGACGTCAATTTTTCGTTTCTTTTCTTCTGTCCTAATTTTTTTGGTAGGGTAATTGTTTTCCTATGGGATGTTGATTGTGTACCCTTTTGATTTTCTGTGGGTGCCTGAGCAATGACTTTGTTTGAGTATAAAGGTCTGGTTCTGTTTATAACCGGGAATGATTTGTTGTCCACTACTGCTTGTGGTATAATATTTGGAGGTGCTGTGGTTGCATTACTGGGGCCCGCCATTTCTGCTGCTTCGTAGGGGGAAACGTTAAATCTCGTCATAATTTCCTTTATTTTGACTTGACGAGCATATTCCGGACATCCTCTTTACTGCTGGAGTTCCTCTTTCATTACTGAGATGTTTTCCATCGCAAAATTGGCATTTTGGTTTACTTCCATTTTGGCATTCTTCCAATGAGTGTACATCGGAACAAGCTGGGCATTTTTTCTTAGATCGACATTGGTTCTTTGTGTGCCCATACCTCATACAGTTAAAGCATTGAGTGACTGGTGTTATATACGGTTCTGGATAACGAAATGAAAAGAAAAGTCTCACCGATTTTGGTAGATTAACCCCCCTAAATGTTACTACTACTGATGCAGTTTCGATGTATTGAGGTCCCTCCTCTGTTTCAATTCTCCTCGCCAATCTTCGTACATGTATAACTGGTTCATCATCTCCTGTTCGTAAGTGCGCAAGTAATTCCTCTTCCCTAAAACTTGGATCGATGTGTCTGACAATGCCCTTACAAGAAATGCGATGGCTGAGTATAAATGCTTTCCAACCATTCTTTATTGATATATCTGAATTTATGAAATTTCCAATCTGTTTCGGCCTCTTTTTTCTAATTTTTTAATACCTTGTATTTTGCTCTGGTATAGTAGTTTACCTATTTTTAAATCTCTCATCTGTCCTATGTTTTTGTCCATAGACTCAATACATACCACAAAAGGTGGGCAGTCTGACTGAATATAACGTTTTTGGTTTTATCACATGTTTAACACCATTTATATTAAGGACTTTACTCCATAATTCGATTGCTCTTTGTAGGAAGGCGACATTATTACCTTTTTTGTCAGTATAGACAAAACCCCAATACCCATTGTTGAGCGCATTTCGTGATTCCATTAAAAGTTCTTTTTTATAGGTTATGTCAATAAAATTTGCTAAATCAGGTTATCAATATTTGTACATATCGACGCCTCCAGCGAAGACTATAGTAACTAATTTTTTACACTACTGAGATAATTCAAAGGAAACATTTACAGCCGTGGTAAAAATACAACTTTTTTAAATCTGATATTATTATTCTATTTAAATTAACTAACATATTCTGTTAACAATAATAATAAATATAATAAATTATTTCATGACTACATCTATTTGAAATCCTTGTGTTTATTCAGTCTTCACTCTCCATTTCATCGACTTCAGCAATCATGTTCGTCTTTGAATACAGACTTTTATAAAAAGCTTGATACATATTAGGTATTTTCCCTTTATCACAAAGCCATAATAATCCTTTCAATTTCTTGTCGTCTATCGGTAGTAGTTTGTCGTATAATTTTGAAGGAAACTGGTTAATGGAGGGCCGTCCTCTAGATTTTCGACCATTTTGCTTGATGTCACTGCTCTTTAAATCACCATCAAATTCATACTTGAATTGTATAGTGTATGGTTTTTTATAAGAAAACCTAATTTCCCTTATTTGGCTCACTTTGAATGGGTGTTTGTTATTGTCAGTTTTCCAATTTTCAGTTTCGGTACGTATTTTAAAATTATAAAAATCATCCTGGCACATCTCCGTAACGTCGTAAACCTTTCCAGTTGTTTTGGCCATTCTTATTAAGGTGACCCACTGTTCGGGCACATATACGTCCGATTGCCGTTTCTTGGCGTTCTCAATAACAGCGTGCATGCTGTCACCTTCATTTTGAGTGTGCCCCTTCTCTAGAAATCTGAGCGTAATGTCAATTTGAAAATGTACGGCAGCAAAAGCAAACATTGAGAATATAAAGCGATTTCTATTTTGTCCACCGCAGTTGTCTGAATAAAATATCACGTTTTTTACTCCTTTTCTAGTGACGTAGTTTAAAAATTTCCAGAGGCAACTGGCAACTTCATTAGGACCCCTTTTTGCTATCTGTTCGTGCCACAGATAGCAGTAACCCTCTTTGTTTCCTAGGTCGTAAACTGTAAAATTGTATGTTGACAACTTGCTCTTGTAATAAAAATCGCTGACATTCGATTGTGGAGTAGCTAAAACTTCTTGGAGATCAAAACAAGCGACGCATACACTCTTATCGTTTACTGCAAGATCTTTGTCGGAACTCTTCAAATTCCTAGCTACAGCTTTATTCTTTAAATGAAACTCATATTTTTCACGAAGTTTTTCTTTTTCCGCTTCCGGTGCCAAATTAAAAACCGAGCAAATATCACACTGGTCTTTCTTGTGCTGAAAGAAACCAATATTAAATTCCTCATTGAAAATGTCTCTATACTGACGAGAAGTAGCTGGTATGGTAATATTGTTTAAGTTACAATATTCAGTGTATAATCGATACATTTTTTGGATGCTCAATCCTTCCTCAAAGTACATTTTAGTGGAGTCTTTTCGAATTTAATGAGAAGGTACTACGGGAAACAATTTAATGTGAATTCTGACAGTCTCTGTAATTTCTGGTTTTAGTCTATGAGTTCGTGTACTATGTTTCCCTCGCTTGTCCTTTTCTAAGGTTCCACCTTCTTTTAATTTGCTCAATGCTTTAGTTACCCAAGATTCTTAAATATTTAGAGTTCGCAAAAAAAAATCTTGCAAATACGTTGTTCTTTACTGCGAATGTTGAAATAATATTCCCGAGAGAAACTTCTCCGAGACTGCGAATTGACAGTAAGAGTAACTTGTTTTTTGAAACATAAGAAAACAAAAAAACTAAAAACCACTTTACGAGTTAAATGTCGTAAAGGTTTGAGTTTGAGATCTTTCCCGTTTCAATGACGACGAAAACTGTAGTAACTCAAGATACGATAGTATTCCGTGGATGATGCATACAAATCGGAGATACTATTAAATTCAATAGCAGAATTTTGGCTGCAGCATGTTCATCTCATAAGATACGACTTTCTTCGCCGAAAAAGATTATCTGAATAGAGCGTTTGGTGCACGTAACTCAAAACATGAAAAATTTGAGTTACTATAGTCTTCGTTGGAGGCGTCGATATGTCGTCAAAAAGGTTTTCAATAGATTTACTATCGTCGTCATTGTTGGGACTTATAGGCTGTGAAATAGGGAGTGGCGACCCACCCCCACTGTCGTGATCTATGCGGGATCAGTCGCTGATATTTTTATGTGTCTCTATTTAATTAATCACCAATTTGAGCTACGTGATTCTATGTATAGGATATATACGGACGTAAGGGAGGACAATTACAACAAATTAAAACTTACCACGGGGCGAGGGAACTATAATAATCGAGCTCTTAAACAACCCTATTTTGTAGGTTATTTTTTAGGTTATATTTTTGTTTTGTTTTAGTTCAGCCGGGTAACAGTTGGCACTCAGTGAGAGCGCCTGCCGACAGAGGTCGTTTGTTTTCAAGAAAACCTGGACCCAAGCGGCCGAAGGCGCCCAAGTCCAGCAGCGACGTACGTAAAACTCTTCCTCACTAGATGTATTAATTTGTCGACCTTGTTTTGAACACGTGCTCGAACAATGATAGGGAAAATTCCATGGTCGACTTTTTAAATTAAATGAAATTTACTTACCACCTCCTATAAACCTGCACCGGAGCTTCAGTAAACACGTCATCACAGCGTGCGCAGGTCACGAGCGGAATATTTTTGTTATGATTTTGTAAACTATTTCCGAACACTTGAAGATTAACCATATAAACAAACCATGAATCATAGTTTAATCCTGACATCACAATTGTCATAACCAGTGAAAATGAACTAGGGCTAGTTTTTAATCCTATTGGTTCCTAGTCATTTGAAACTGGTCTTTGTTGGTAGTGAAAGCTGTACAGGGTGTCCAAATTTCGATGGGTTTGCAGGGTATCTCAGTTATTATGAAAGATAGAAAGTTGCGGCTTTCGCGAACCTGAGCTACTTTTTTGTGAAACTTATAATGGCGCAAACCAAATTTTCATAGCCCTCTTCGTTTTTGATATACAGGGAGTGTTTGAAATTTACGATTTTCAGACACCTCCTGTATCTCAGCTATCCGCAAACTTAGTAAAAAAGTAAAAATGGGTTCTAATAGATTTTTTCACGTAGAATCCAATGGTGCACGTAGATTTTTTCTAGTCATCACGGTTTTTGAGTTATAAACACAACTCAAATACTCAATACTCAACTTCTAAAATACTTAACTCTTTATAACTCAAAAACCGTGATGACTAGAAAAATTCTACGTGCACCATTGGATTCTACGTGAAAAAATCTATTAGAACCCGTTTTTACGTTTCCGGATAGCCGAGATACAGGAGGTGTCTGAAAATCGTAAATTTTGAAACACTCCCTGTATATCAAAAACGAAGAGGGCTATGAAAATTTGGTTAGCGCCATTGTAAGTTTCACAAAAAAGTAGCTCAGGTTCGCGAAAGCCGCAACTTTCTATCTTTCATAATAACTGAGTTACCCTGCAAACCCATCGAAATTTGGACACCTGTACAATTTCGACTGGATGGTTCCAATTCTACTTAATCATATCCCCGAGAAAGACCTAAATGGGTAAAATACAACGCGCCTGATAATGAGTCAAAAATTTTAGTAACATTAGGTAATCTGTCATCCTCAATATTTTTATTTAACAACCTATAATCGATAACAATTCGTCATTGTTTGTTTCCCTGACTATCATTTTTCTTAGGAACTATTAACAATGGTGAGGACCAACTTGTCTTTGTTTCTTCAATTATTCCGTCAATTGAGCCGGTGAGAATGAAAGTGGCATAAGTCACATTTTGACAAATTGAAGAAATTTAATTGTATGTTAAAATTATTATTGAAAAATCAAATAAAAAAAGATCGCAATACTAAAAACTGATTGCTGTTTGAAATTAAATGATTAACCCGATTTATAAACATTATATTCTGCATCTTTTGTGTATACTATAAAAAGTAGGGGTTAAGTGACTTATGCCACTTTCATCCTAAATACGTGCAAGGTAATATGATAATTTCTGAACTTACATCGAAAAAAAGTTGTTATTATTTTGTACATTTTCAAGGCTCTTATTACTTGAATCAATTTCAATTTAATAACATTTCCCATTTTACTTCACATTTTTAATGTATTTAACACAAATATAAAATAAAATTAAAATTAAAGCCTAAGGAAATGAAATGTGCAACTAAAGAACAAACAAAATATTAAAAATCTCAACATTCTAATACAAATGCGTCCTATATTATTCAATTTTCGAAAAATTTTCAAAAGGTGTCCACTACTGGCTTATAACCTGCAGTTCGTCATCACCTTCCTCTTTACTATTAAGTTCATCACTTTCCTCTGCATGGAAAGATAGAGGTCCAATATCGCCTTCTATAGCATTGGATGTACAGGGTGGGCAAATTTGGGTGTTAATAATAACACCGATATATATTCTACTTAAAAAAGTGTCTTAAGAACGTATCAACCCCATTTCTCTAATTTCAAAAATAAACGAAATATGAGCATTTTTTAAAATCACGAAAATTTGGCTATAACTTAAAAACAAAAGAAGATAGAGATTTGGTCTTTACGGGATTGGATTAGTCTCGGAAAAAGAGACCGGGACATGGCACCTACTTTTTTTGTATCTCTTATAGTTTCTGAGATAGCCTATAATAACACCCAAATTTGCCCACCCTGTACATTGATTTAAAAAAAAATTGTGATGCACCGGAGGAATAAACGGCAACAAAGCCATCATATCCTGTTTTTTAAACTCCCCTATAGGTCTTATGTTAGTATAAAGTTTAACGTACGGTACGTTCTTTAAAGAAATAGGCCTTCCCTTTCTGCCAGTTGGCTTTATGTTTAGGACATCAAACTCTATCATGTCCTCTAATGTTTCCTTATGCATTATTTTATAAGGACTCCCTTTCTGTATTCTAATCCACTGGATTTTCAACCAGTTTATACGTTTATTTTCAATATTGATTTTTCTGTTACTAACATTCCTCTTTAAATTTTCAGTAGAAAAAAAATCATTTTTATTCATTGTACTTATTATAAATTTTTTTTAATTTCTACAATTTGTCATAATTTCATACCAGTTTTCTGGAACGTAGATGACTTTTCCTTTTGCTGCAAGTTCTACACTGCCAAAATCAGAATCGTTAGGCAAAAACGAATGGCCTGGTACCAAAGACTTCTGGTCTATGACCTCGATGTTAGTTTCATCACTTTGAATAAATCTCATTAATGCCAAACACATATTAATGTTTCGATTTTGTCCTCCGCATGTATCGCTGTAAACAGTGACTTTCTTTTTATTGTTAGCATAAACTTTTAAGTGCTTTAATAGGCATGACGATATTTCTTGTGAGCCTCTTCCGGCAACTGTCTCATTCCATACGTAGAAAAACCCGGAATCTTTTGCAAAATCATGAACTCCAAAATTGTAGCAGTAAAGATTTCTTTTGTAATAAGCATCAGAAACCGTTAAAACTGGGAATGGTAAGGATTTTTGCAAATCTATACTACAAGCATAACATTCTTGATTGATTTTAACAATTTCAGCGTCATCTTTCATACAACTTCTAGCTAACTCAGCTTTCTTCAGATGAAATTCATGATCTCTATCGAGTACCGTCTTATCTTCTTGATTCATATCTGGGTTATATATTTTAATTTTGTAAATATCACACCTTTTACATGTATCCTTTTTCGGGCTATAGAAGTGTAAGTTGAATTTCGTATTGAAAATATACTCATAAAAATGTTCCTTGACTGGCTGCCTCTGGTTTTCATAGCATTTTTCGGCGTACAGCGCATACATTTTTCGCAGGCTCAATGATTGGCATAAATATTTTTTGTTTGGGTTGTGTTTCCTTGTGTAATGACTCTCGTATGAAGGAAATAACTGGATATGCTGCATAACGTAAGTTTTATCGTCTTCTGATATTTTCCGTTTAGGACAGCCTTTTAAGCCTCTTAGGTCATCTCCTGGAGTCTGACCATCGAGTGTTTTTCTTAAAACTCGGGAAACTCTTCCCTCAGACACGTTAAACGTGCCAAGAAAATATTTCTTGCAAACCACAACTGATAAATTATTGTTTGGTTTTAAATTATATTGAAATGAAGCACTCCTCATAATGGCTCCTTCCACATAAAAATGTATTTTGTCTTTTGAAATTTCCCTACGAATTTATATTCCCTACGTTTTCTACAGTTTTTCTGCGAATTATTTTCCTACTTTTGTTGTCTGGTTGTTTATCTTATTTTATTGTTCCTATTGTTTTTCTTGACGAGTTTAATTTAGATTTAAGAAGTTTAAGGATTTTTTTATTTATTCTTAGTAATTCTTGCAGAGTTTCATATTTTGGTTCCAATTTCTTCGTTCTTATTAAGTTTTCGTTGTTGTATTTTATTTTCGCATTATTTATTATTTTTTTCCATTTTGAGATTAAATCTCAAGGATTCGTTCCAAATAAGTTTTTTTTTTATTTAAATTCAGAAATTCAAAAATTGTCAAATTGACAACTAGAAAAATTAATGACTCAATGTCACCAACTTGAACTGGTTCCATAAAATGTTACACAAATCTCATTACAGCACCCGTTTGAGTACTGTTAGAGCTTTCATTACCGTCGCAAATTACAAAAAATTATTTTCATTTAGATGTAACGGAAAGTATGTATTTTTTTTTAAATGAATAGCCTGTAATTTTATCATATTATAAATACAACTAAATTGGGTTTATCCTACAGTATATGTTGCAAACTCACAGTGTTAATAGTTCCAGAGATATTCAATAATTGAATTATTGAATAATTGAATTATTGTTTTTCCAAAATATGCCCGTTGCAGGATCTTTTTAAAAACGATGTAAAAATGTCAAATAATAGTCAAAGCCAGTAGGTAGTAGATAATAGTATCTAAAGATATTAGATACACTATACAGCGTGTTCATAAAACTTTGTAAATTTTAATGTTTTTCAAATGGCTTTCCATAAGTTTTTTAAATGGACCACCCTGCATATTATGTGCTGGTTGAATTGCTCATAAAGTTTCCTTTAAATAATGTTAAGTATGCCTAACTTTAGTAGTTTTCCTGATATTTACAATTTAAAGAAAAATGTGCAATACAATATGCCATTATTGTACTTAATATTGCATTCTGTCTATTTTTGTCATGTAAAAAATCATAACAACTTAACTGATTTTTTAAATGTTATATTTCATATCTATAACAATCAAATATGCAGAGTTGGATATAAAAAATGATAACAGCGAGGTTTATGGAAAATAATAAATTATTTATGGCGCAAGAAGTCTTCATCAAATTTGCTTTAAAATGTTCTTTATTTCATAATAGTCATTAATAATAATAATTCGTTCTTGAGATTCGATTTTTTAAAAGTTATACTTTATATCTGTAACAATCAAACATGCAGAGTTAGAATTAAAAAATCATAATAATTTTTTACTACTGTATTCCCGATAATTATTTTTTCTAATAACTATCAAGTGTCGAATAGCAGGGATGGGCGTGTATTTTACTCGTGTATTTTTCAGGTTTTTTTACATGTAAAAATTAGAATAATTTACAGGTTCTTCTTAACTGTAAAATATGTAAAAAATGTAAAGTTGTAAAAAATTAAAAAAGGCATAAATAAAAAAATAAATCGCAAGTCGCAAGTCAAATATTATTTATTGTCAACGTTAACCAAATGCATTTATTAAAAAATATAATATTGACTTATTCAATCTTCACCCTCAAGCGTAGTCTCAACTTCACTTTCATCCCAGTCATAATTTTGACAATTATCTTTAATTTTTAAGGTGTAGTAAATATATACTAGTTTTTTGGATTTTTCAAATCCAAGACGATTTCTAATTGAAGAATGGATATATCCCCAATTTGAAAAAACCCTTTCGATTTCGCCCGAAGACGCTGGCATTTTTAATAATTTTAATGCAACTTGTGGTAACTCCTTGTTTTCCATTTCTGCCATTCTCCAAAATAATAAAGGTTTTGTTATATTCTTCTCTTTGATTTGTGGAAAAATCCCAACATTGCGTTCGTAGTTATCCCATTCTTCGCAACCTTGGGCGCTAAGTATTTTAAACAAAAAGGCATGTATTTCTCTAAGATGCTCTGAATTGAGTTTTTTGTTTTCATATACAGGATGCAAATAATATGCAGTTAATGCATATACATTTAATGCCATTTTCTTTCTGGCAGCCAAAGCCGCAGAATATTTATCTTTGAAATTATCGGGCAAAGTTAATTCAAGCCAAAAGTGCACGGCATCTGCTATTGATGCGTCTTGGGACTGACAATTATTTATTAGCTGGCAAATAGGCTCATATAAAGATAATTGATTTCTTACTTTATCGATGAAATCTTCATCGAAAAGTAATGATACTACTTTTGATTTAATTCTTTTACAAGTTGAATCAGTTTCAGCTGCAATAACCCTCATTATTCTTAAATTATCTAACAGACATTTGTATGATTTTTGATAGCTACACCATCGTGTTTCACATGGAAGTTTAATTTTGGTACCACCTTTTTCTGTTATAGCCCTTTCATTGTCCGCTTGTTTAAATTCCTTTAAAACAGTTGTAACAGAATTGGTGCATTCTTTATCCTGTACATCTTTGGCTAGAAGGTTGGCGGTGTGGCTATTGCACGTTGAATGCCAGAGACAATGATTCATATCTTTCCCCATTCGTACCATTGCACTTGCATTGTCAGATATAATTGCATATATTTGGGAATGGTATGTACGTTTAGCCAAATCTATTGCTTCATTTATTATGTGAACCAGTTTTTGGGCAGTTTCTGCTTCACCAGTTAAATCCCTAGCATTGAGGAATGCTCTTTGACCTAAACAGTAAAAAGTTTAATTTTAAAGGATTTTACCAGATTTTAAAAATCTGGTGTATAGCAAATAATTCCATGATTTTTAATTTAAACAAAAAATGCTCTAATTATAATAATCGATAATCAGAAATAATTATTGCAATTAATCATAATATAACACCAAAAATGTTGGATTTATTTGGTATTGTATTCCAGATTTTTGTTGCACATTGCACCCAGTATAAATCAGAAAAATAATAAAGACATAAATATACCTCCAACTGTCTGAAGTGTACATGTAATAATTTTTGAGTTACTTGAGGTGTTTTTCCATCCATCAATAAGAACTACAGTTTCTTGATCTATTCCAAATTTAGTTTCGGTGATTAAGTTATTGCATACAGAATCCAATAGAGTACTCGATAAAGTTTTTCTACCAGGTTTTCTTTTTGCATAGGCAGGACGCAATTTTGGAATGTTGCAGGCAAAAAAAAATTCTGCTATTGCTTGTGTAATGCTGTCTTCTTCTTTAACAGAAATGGTGTCTATATAGTTATCCAGTTTTGACGCTTTTTTCTTTGATTTGGCGGTTTTAGACGTAGTTGTTGAACTTGAAGGTCTACTTGCACTTGGTAGAGAATCCATGGTAACGGCTGTTGAAGTTGAACCTGATGGCAACATTTGCAACATTTCACTTGTACTACTTGTATTACATACGTAAACATCAATCGTATTATTAGCTTCTTCAGAGGCAGCCTGAATATTTAAGAAACAATATAAAACTACAAGTTGTAAAACAACTAATTAGATGATTACTGCTTACCAATTCTTGTACGTTGATATTGTCGTCATAGTCGACATCATCCTGTTTTGCTTGACCACTATCGATTTGGCTAATATTCATATTATCATTATCAATGGAGTTATTATTATTAAATTTCTGAATCTCAGAATCTGATTCCAAACAAATTGACATTGAACTGGATTCAACAGATGGTGATAAGTTTGTTTTTATAATTTTGCATGACTTTCTAGATAGATAAAAAGATACTAGTTATTAGTTATCGATTTTACTAAAGTGGTTGGTTTGTACGTATATGCAAATATGCTTACCTGTGCAATTTCAATCTACTAATAGCTGTGTTTTTTAATAATTTGTTACACACGTTACATTTTGCATTGTATTTACTTCCGGATTGAATGTATTCAAATGCCAAGCTAACATACTCATTTTTTCGTGGCCTGCCACAAGCGCGATGACGAGCGCGACTATCATTGTCATTGCCAATATTGCAAGTAGAATTAAGTTTTTCACTTTTAGAAGTCATTATTAAATGAATTCGATACTAATCGATACATAGAACATAACCTTACTTAAGTTGCTGGGGTGGGTTAATACAAAATACAACACAAACCCACATAACCTTATTTAGTGGTTATATTGACATCTGACGTATTTAACTGACATAACCTCAAATAAAATACGTGATTTTTTCGTATTTTACGTATTTTACATATTTTACAAAATTTACATGTAGAAATTGTTTTTTACATGTTCTACATGTAAAATAATAAATTAGATTTTTTACATGTAAAATACCAACCCTGTCGAACAGATACTGCATATAAATTATTGAATTACTACAATACTTATTAATTAATTACATGTTTTTCTTTTTGTTTCAGCATGTGTGCGCATTGCATAGATTTAAGATGGTCAATCATTGTGTAGCTAAAATGAGACGATGGGCGATAGCGTTGATAGTAAATGTTTTGTCTGATATTGAATGGAACATCCTTCAGTAGATCTATAAAATTAATTTCAAAAAAATTCTCATTACATGTTAATGTTGAATTATCATACCAACAATCTACATAACTTTGTATATTATTTCCACATATGCTGCTGAGATATTTCAAAGATATTCGTGATATGTAGTTAGGAATCAGTCTTTTATGGCTGTGACATGAATAGGTACGCAAGTGTTCTACCACGAATAATTGCTTGAGAGAGCTTGAATAATTCTTTGTGGAATGCATGTGTACGTGCAACCTGTATATTTTGGGATGTGCTGTTTTACACTTTGTTTTGTTTAAAACTCCCCAAGTGTACCTTTCTTATAACTCTGCTTTTATTTTCTGTTTACTGGATATTATTTAATTGTTTACACAATTATTTTGTCCAAGTTTCTTTGTCATTTATTGTTCTCAGTATAAGTATAATTTTAAGATTATAAGGCAATAAATACGAGTTATCTTTTTATATTTATATTTTATATGTTTTTATTTATACTTGAGGTAAGTTTCAATAATATTTCAAATAGAAACAATACTTCTTTTATAAATTATTTAACGTTTTCCAATAAACTGTAAAAAATATGGTGCTGCTTCGTTCATATGATAACTCCTCTTCCAGTGCTGTGAAAGGAAAAATATGTATTTTAATCACTAATGTTGTGATTCTAACCTGAACTAAAACCTTTAATAAAAGCGAAAGAAACAAGAATGACGGTTTGTTAAAAATTAAAATGTGCTTAAACGTCTTTTTTTTTTCACTTTTATAGGCTAAAAACATAATAAATTTTAACGGATTGAAATAATTGTAGTTCCGCCTATAGAGAATCTATTTACGAATGAAATAAATTCCTGGCCAAATAATCGGTCTATTAGTTTTTGTATAATTATGTGAACCACTTCGAAAATTACTTTTCAGGAGAAGCGTTGAAAATTGAAGTACAGTTATTAAGGTGATAAAAGAAAAAATGGTGATTTACCTTTAGTCAGCAATTCCAGGAGCGGCAACAACGATAACACTGCTAATTGCTAGATGCGACGCAAACTGAACTATCGTTGTGCTAAAATGCAGATGTTTTGGAAAAAACGTCCAAATGAGCGAATTTGAGACTTTCATAGTTATTCTGGGTGTTTGCTCCTAAACAGCGTTCCAATAAATCCTCCGATCTTAAATGTTAGTAAAGAGATTTAACAGCTTTTTGAAATTAAGCAGAAAGTTCTGGTCTCTTGCGCTTAAAACTGTCTAACCTATTATTCGCTTCTGCTTGTCGCTATTTACACCAGTTATCTTTACCAGGGGGCAATAATGGTGTTGAGAATTACTATCTGATGAACTATTATGGTAAAATGCAGCTCATATTTTATATTTCATTTCTGGCACAGATGCATTTCATCGGATTACTAAGCCATAATACCTGATTAGATAACTGATCACTTTTGCAGTGAGTACTCCTATATTACTAAAAAAATTCTGCGATATATCATTGATATAATAATATAAATATATATGTTACGGCTAAAAGCCGAAGTGCGATTACACCTAGTAATAGCCGTGTCGCACAGTGGTCACTTTTGTCGATCTAAGCGAGCGAAATTATTTTGTATGATAAAATATATAATTAACTTTTGAAAAAGTTTACGAAAAGATAGAACACTACTTTAGGTGAATAGTTTGTAAATATTGAAGGATATATTACTGAAAAAGTACTAAAATAAAAGAAAATTAACGTACAAAGTATAAATAAACGAAGAAATGCTTTAAGGCAATGGTTTTTGATATAATTTCACAAAATCAAACAATACCAGTTTTTAAAGTGTCACATGTAACTGAAAACAGAAAAAAAAAACGCTTTTTATATCTTAGTTATTGTTTATGTCACTATTATAAGATTCACTTTCACTACTATCATTTATGCTACATTTAATCATTTTTTTAACTTCTGATGGCAAAGTGCTCCTTTTCTTAGGTTGTGATGGTCGCAAACTACTAATTTGTGGATCGGATGATACGAGTAGCAAGTGCATCATATCTTCGAGTGTCTGCTGCCGAGTGAATTTACGCGAAAAGAACTGTCTATATTGTTTTGAATCCTTATTTCGTGATTCTTGTACCTCTTCGAATATTTGTTCAATAGGTGAAACCGACTTTTTAATTAGATCTGCCCCATGAAATAATATTTTATGTAAACTTTGTGGCATATAATACCAAGGATACAAATTAACATAGATCCTTGCAGTATCTATACAATAAGTTTTGAATAGTACGCTATTTACTTCGAAACCACAGGAAATGGTAATTAAAATGGTACTTATTGGTTTTATAAAATTTTCATTCACTCCTGTGATTTCAAAAGCTAGATCAGGACTTCTGAAAAAACCTCTGGCTGTATTGCCGTCATTGGTTGTCCGAAAACCTAGCTTAGGTATATCAACCAGAAGACCCATGTTACGACGAAATTTTTCTTGCATTTCTTTCTTCCTTGTTTCTACTTTTTCCTTATCTTCTTTCCTGACTTGCCATTTACATATCTCTAATCTATATGCAATATGTAAAATGCACTCAAACGCTTTTATCCACGCATGGAGGCTTGAAATTCCATATTCCAACTTATCTTGTCTTATCACTCGTTTTAATACGACATCTATGTCATTCATTTGCTTCGGAGAAGTTCCACAAAGGTGACAGTTTTGACATGGTTAAAGAAAATAAGGAATAACATGGTATCAGATTTGTTTGAAATTCAGTAGTCATTGGAGGTAGTTCATCTATTTGTTTTTTAATGTTTTCAATTTAATTTTTGACAAATTCTTTTGTTTCTTTAAGAAAAATTATTTTTACTGGTCGACAGCATTTTGTTGAAGATGTAGATTCATTTTACCATATAACAAATTCCTGTTTATCTTCAAATACACCTATGAGTCGTAATGGCACTATATAAATTGAAAAAAAAATGAGTCATCATTTTCTTCGCGTTCAAAAATCTGTTTATAACAACTTTGTCCCGCTGCACCATCACAACCCCACTTGAAATATATGCCCATTTCTTTAATAATAGTACTATTACTATTGGTGATATGTTCAAGCACTTCATTTTGAACGGAAAGTAATCTTTGAATTGTATGTTCAACTAACGATTGGAGCTTGACCTCGGCTGAAATTTCACTAATTACTATCTCATTTGGATAACATTGTTTTTTTGTAAGCAGCAATGCGTTATAATTTGGGTAAATGTTTGCATTATGAAATTTGCTCATTTGTTATACAGCAATGTATTGTTTTGTCGTCATTTTTGAATTTACTTATAAAGCGAGCGCCTTTTCAGCCGTAATTTTTGTTAGTAGTTGTTGTGAAGGAGAATCTGACAAATATATTTTTTTTATTTTTGTGATCCTCTTAGGAGATAAACTAGACGTTTCTTTAATTATATAAGCTGCATCTCTTTTTCCCGTTCGCCTAAGACTTACTCTTGATGCGTAAGTCAGTTCATCTTGCGTAAACGTCTGCAGGAGTGGACGAATTTTTCTTCGTTTGACTGAGTCACTACAACTACCACGATTTTTCTGGTCTTCCAGACCGTGATAGAGTTTTTTTGGGTGGAAGTTCCTTAAAAACAATTTTCTCGCCGAGCCATTTTTAATTCTTTGAGATAAATATCTTTAATACGATGGCATTTTTTCCATTTTAACATTAATTGACTGCAAAAGTTTTCAATCGTTTTCTTAATTAACCCTTTCGCTGCTACAACCTATCGCAGATTTAGTTTTATCAAGCGACCTCCGCACGAACTTGTGCGAAGCGTCTGTGCGGCGCGGTTTTTGCGTATACTCATATAAACGACGTGCACTATGAGATGGGATATGTCACTATTACTATAAAGTTCTTAGTATTATTTTAAACTAGCTTTATCATAAGACAAATAAAATTTTTATACTCAAATTTTTAATATTAACATTTAATATAAATTAAAAACAATTAAAACATTTAACTGATAATTAGAAAAATTTGTAGTGTGATACATTGCAAAACAGGGGGTTACACATAATCCCACATCGCATATTTTGCATTCGTAATGAGATTGTCTTCGCTTATTATGTTTTCAGCATACAACACATTTTCTTACGGATTTGGTGTTTCGAGACATATCTGATTTCGTGTATGCGGATGGAAAATGTCTCTCAGTTAGTCTTATATAGGCTATATCTCTATCTAGAGTTCGTCTCCGAATCAAGGTTTTTGATTCATGGTATTTCTCCAATATTTCTCGAATTAACTGTTTTTGAAAGCACTCTATTGACATATCTTTATTTGTTACTTCTTTATATAGTATTTTAGCATTATATGTCGAGATGTCCAGGAGATGAAAAAAATATTTCTTGTACCATTTTGTGGTTTTTCGTACAGATTCAATTGTGCTCAAAATCATGTGACATTTATCTATACTGCCCATCAACAAATTGTAATCAATAACACATTTAGGTTTAAGAATTTCTTGCTGAGTTTTGCGGTTTCTTTTTCCCGTATTTTGTATCTCTGCACTATGTAATGTTGTAAGCATCCAAACCTCTCTTCTGTCGTGCCATTTTAATGCGAGTATACTATCAGAACTTTTATACGCAACTTCTCCTTTTGCCAACTTTCTAGTCAGTTTTGGTAAGCCTTTTCTATTTTTCCTGCATGTTCCACAAGCACCTGTTTCGTTTTTGTATAGGTTATAAAATAGAGCGGGGCTAGAAAACCAGTTATCAACATATAAGTTATGGCCTTTTCCAAGATATGGGTCCAAAAGTTTTAAAACAATACTTCCGGACAATCCAATTTCTCTATTGCAGCGTGTTATGTTACTTGATGCGCCTGTATATATTATTATATCCACAACAAAACCCGTTTTACAATCACATAGAACAAATGATTTTATTCCAAATCTACTTCGTTTTGTTGGTATGTATTGCTTGAAGACCAAGCGACCTTTGTATAAAAGACTTTCATCAATACACACGTTCGTGTACGGAGAAAAATTATTTTTGAAAGCTGTAATTAGTTTTTGTAGAACAATATCTATTTTCACTAAGCTATTATTTATGTTTGGTTTGTTATTGTCATTGAAATGCAATAAACGATATAGTAGCAGATATCTATCCCGTGGCATTATATGTGAGAATGATTTAGTTTGTATAAGTTTGTCGGTCGACCAATATTGGCTAATGCTAGATTTTTTTACATGAGCCATAAGAATAGTGGCAGCTAAAAAGCAGTACATCTCACTAATATTTGTATCTTTCCAGTCATGCAAACGAGAGTTCTTTTTTTTCTCTGACTGCATTATGTACGTGTAATATTTGTTCGTTTCAATAACGATATGATTCACTAAATCGACATTGAAAAATAATTCAAAACAATTTAAAACTGTTGAAGGGCGAGGGTTACCTTCTACATATCCAGATCCACTTTCGTCAAAGTAGTGGTGCTTCGGATTAAGATTTTTGTCCGCCCATACTATTTTATTTAATATGTCTTCTTCTTCGTCCTCGCTTTCCGAGTCTGGAATTGGAAGAACTCTACATTTACGGACGTTAATTACTTCCGAGGTAGTCGAATCTTTTGAATAGGACCACTCCATGGGAGGAAATGGCAATAAATTTGTTTCAGATTCACTTTCTGAAGCAAAACCTTCAAAAGCAAAATCTTCATCTTTGCTATCACTTCTTGTGACAATCTCAGAACAATGTTCTCTATTTTGATTCATTATAAATTATATTGAGAAATAATTTAATTAATAATAAGGCAAGGACAGTAGAATCTAACAGGACTGCTACATCCATTGTATTTTTGTAGTCCACTAGGGATTGGTTGCCCGCACTCTACGTCACACTATTTGCCACGCCTGGTAACTGTCTGCGTTTTTAGAGGTTATATGATAGACATTAATACGTCTAAAAACATAAAACTTCAAAAATAATATGAATACGTCTAGGATATAACCTCTAAAAATACACAACAAACACATAGACCATAACAATAGCTGGGCGTGGAAAATGGTGTGACGTAGTTTGCGGGCAGGTTGTCACAACAATGGATGTAGCAGTCCTGTAAGATTCTACTGTCCTTGATAATAAGGTATATAAAATATAACAATTAATATTTAATTGTTGCTGGGTTATAGCAGTTTTGATGTCAATTTGACAACTAAACAAACAAAAGTGAAAGGCTTAAATGTTTAAAATCCTCCTCATATTCCAAAAAGTCGCTTTTTTGCGTCAAAAAACTTAATACTGCCTTAGTTTTTTCATCCACGTTTGTTTCATCCTGCCAAATGCAAAATAATGTTTCTCGTTGTACTCCGTATGACAAATCTAAAAACGTAAATAAAGTCTAAAGTTGCGAAAAGCTGCAACTAAATTTAATGTAAACCAGTTATTAATAAGTTATTTGATAACAATATATAAATAATACGATCAATACACGCCAATTCGTAATGTTTTACTTTAACAAATTTAACACAAAATTTAAAAAAATAGTAATTTTGTAAAAGTAATTTTTAAACCCATAAATCTTCACTAATGTTCAACAAACTCTTATTGTTTTTACACTATAAATTGCTTACTTAATTATTTTTACAGGATTCATAACGAGAACAAAAAAGAGAGCTTTATTTAGCATGAATTCAATTAAAAAACTAAATATGACAGACAACCGCGTAAGTGCGAGTTCGTCAAGCCTTGTACGATCATTTTTATCGCAGCGTTTCCTTATTCTACGTTCGATCTTGAAATGTTTTAATTGTTAGATTTAATACTTCCAAGGATTCAGGATTATTTTTATACAGAGTTCCCCATAATAGGCTACCCATTTTGAAATTTGAATTAAAATTTTTTTAGTTAACAAAACAAACTTTTTATTATACTAAATTACAGCTAACTTTTTGGGATTTATGATAACTTATAAATATTTGGCTAATTTAATTGTAACTTTTAAAAATCACGTCTTCTAATTGACCTCCACCACCTTAAACACATTTTTCAATATTAGATAAAAAGTATATTGTGATTATCCATGTTGCAAGGTAATTAAATTTAATGAAAAACAAAATAAGTAACCTCTTACTTGCAAATTTATTGTTATTTTACTTCGATACTGGTTTCGATGTGTTACCTCATCTTCAGTCGAAACTACAAATTTATAAAAATTTTTTTAAAAAATTAGAAAAACGAAAATGTTAACATATAGAACTTACAGTCAAATTTTTTTAGAGATGTACACAAGCGAGAAGAAATTCTTTATAGAAAAATATTAAAGATATGAACATGTTGAAAAGTTTTTTGAAAAATTATGCGTAATAAAATTTTGAAGGTCAAACGGGATAAAAATGGTTGAAGACTGGTAACTAAATAAGAGGTTAAATCTAAAAATAAATAATTACTAACAATTATAATATAATATGAGAAAACTCACGATGATACGAAGATAAACCGACGTGGCATAGGCTGCGAGACTTCTAACGTAGAAAAAGGCCAAAAAACGTTATGAAAATTTAGAAATTATGTTAGAAGTCACGCAGCAATGCGGTAGAGGAACCAGAAGAGAAGAGACTAAAACGACTTAAACGACTAACGGAGAAGGAAGCGTGGGTCGGGAAACGTGTTCGCGAGAGAGGGGGAAAAATCAGCATTTAAGTTCAAAATCTTTTAAAAATGAAAAAATTGGTTTTTGAGTTAATTGAAGTTGATCATTAAGAAGGACAAATTCATTATTATTTTTATGTTTAATAATTTCAAGAATCTCAAGAAGATCAAGTTTTTGACTTTTATTACATTTGTGCAAAAGTTTAATATCTTATAGATAAAAAGTGGTTCATTACACGGCGTAGCAAACCTTCGTCTATTCCTTCAACTTCTTCACGAATTTTGACTTTGAGTTCCTCGATTGTACCTGGACGACTCGCAAACACTTTGGCTTTTAAATATCCCCACAGGAAAAAATCGGGTGCCGTTAAGTCGGGGGACCTCGAAGGCCAAGGCAAATCTCCGAATCGAGAAATGAGTCGACCATTAAACATTTCTCGCAGAACCCTCATTGAGTTTCTGGCGGTATGAGCTGTTGCCCCATCTTGTTGGAATAGTAAGGGAGTGTTTACTAATCCTCGTCTATTTAATTCTGGAATGAGGAATGTCTCTAGCATGTTTACGTAGCGCTCGGATGTTACTGTTACAGCGCGGTTATTTTCATCCTCAAAAAAATATGGACCAATAATACCAAAAGATCCTACTCCACACCACACAATAACTTTTGGATTATGGAGGTTCTGTGTAAAGATTTCACGAGGATTTTCATTTGACCAGTATCTAAAATTCTGTTTATTAACCATGCCGTTCAAATAAAAATTTGCTTCGTCGCTCATTAGGAGATTGTGAATTGCTCCTTGATGTAAATCCAAAAATTCTTGACAAAATGCTAACCTTGCTTCTTTATCTTGATTGCTAAAGTGCTGTGCCATTTGGTACTTATAGGTATGAAATTTTAAATCCTTTCGAATAATTCGATCTAAGCTTCCCTTTGATATTCCTAGGATAAGGCTTTGTCGATTAGCAGACCTTTTAGGACTTCTTGTAAACGCAATTCTAACTCGTTCAATATTATCTGGTGTATTGTTCTTCGACGTCCAGGCTTCTTCAAATCTTGTACAGAACCATTTTCACGCCAATGACGAACCCATAACTTAACAGTTTTACGATTTGGCGTGTGACCCCTATTGTTGTTATTAAACTGACGCCGGAATGCACGCCTAACTTCTTCTATCGAATTGCTTCTAATGTAAGTTTCTACACAAAACACACGTTGTTGGACGAAACTAAAAATAATATCGAATATTATCTCGATAATAATAATTAATAATTTAAAACTTATTTGTGACAGGCGACTACTTGATTAATAATTAACTTAAATCCCAAAGACTACAGAAGATATTCCCACAGAGAAAAACTTATTTAGTTATCTCATAGGGAATTTATTAATAAAATAAAATGGGTAGTCTATTATGGGAAACCCTGTATAATAAAAAGCTTTAAAGTGTCCAATCAGATATTTGACTTTCGCTCATTCAAATTGGCAAAAGTGGCCACTGTGTGTCGGTCCGAAACCAGATTTATATTGTATAGGATTATATTGAAAGAATGAAAGTCAAGTGTGTTGAAGTGACATTTATATTGTTCATATAAATCCATATAAGAATCCATATAATATCTTAGTTATAATACTCCACCTATAATAATAACCAAGATAATTGCACTTGCTGGTTTTACAATATTCTCTAGGGGAAAAATAAAAGACGATAGCGCTTTGAGGTTTTCGACATTGGAATTTATTTAAAAAAAGAGATCGAGACATGTAAGCTACTTCTTTCTAACTCTTATTGTGTCCGAGATAGCCTATTCGGACATCGAATTTGAACCACCCTGTCTGTACTGGCTGTGACGAGGTTTCCCGTGCACAATTTTCAGACCTGGCCACATTTGCGTTAAACGTTCCATAACTCGATTAGCGAATATCCAACTATACAAAATATGTCTAGGAGAATCTTCGATATTTCCTCAGCGGTTTTACTTTGTAAAGGACGTAGCTGTATGAATTAGTGAGGTGGTCCTGATAAACTAAAATAAACTTGAAATTTCCGTCAGGATTTGTTTGCATGTCTATTAAGTCTACCTGACAACGACTATTCATCTCATTAGATAAAATGGGTTTAAACGACACCTTTTCTATGACATTTTTGCTTCATTTCACATGGATTGCATAATTGAAGATATAAAAGAATAACCCCTTGCGTTACATATGCATACCTTCTTTTTGCTTCTGTGTCCAATTGATAAATCGTTTCAAACAACGATATTGTAATGTTGTACGTTTTTTTTGCTATTTTTGCAGCTTTAGTCTCTTCAATGAACGTCAAATACTGTTCACTATTAATGTAACTTTGGTTAACGCCATGTTTCGAACTTATAACACGGTATAACTCTCTGATCCTTGATGATTAGCAGCACAACTTTCTTGATGAGAATCAAACCATTCGACATATTCTGTCGTATGTTTCTTACTTTCCCAAAATTCACAGGCCTTGCAAAACCTACATTTTACCAAAATGTCAAGAACTTTACCACTATTATATCCAATGATAGCTGAGACACCGTATAATGAAGTGACCGTGCCCCCTTAAGAACTGTGGATACCTAAAATTTATTAAATTATACATTTATATTGAATAAAAATAATAAATTAAATATCGGTGAAACCCAAAGTGAGTAAATAGTTATTTGCAACCTTCCTTTTTATTTTATTCGTAAAATAAAGACGGTTTATTTGGGTGCAATATATTTTCAAATTTTAATTTTTGATATAATAAATTGTCTTATTAGAAATTTTAATAAGAACAACCTTTAATTATCATGACATTAACAATTAGCTTTTTAGGTAGATATATCTTACAAAGTAAAGAACAGTTACTTATAGTATACTTTTTATTAGTTCAGGTAACATGTGGTCGTCGACAAATATTTTTAACTTTGGATAATATATTTTTTCATTCCAAAACAATTCATCCCTTTGAATTATTTCAATGTGTGGGGACCCAACAGGACTGCACACCAAAAAATAACATTTCTTTTTTTTCTGCTAAGTGAAGTTGTCCCTGAATTTGGTAATAGTAATCATGGTTCGACTTAAGTTTTAAGTTATTTTCTACAATTTCTAAGTATTTAATTTTTTTTGTTGAACACCATCTTGCACGCTAATGTCTTTTAAAACAAATGGGCACTTGATTTCTACAAGAGCGTGTTCGCCGATTAGTAGTTCCCGTCGGGACTAAATCCCAAGAAGAATTCATCTTCATCATTTCCAATGAATAACCCACAAGCAGAGACGTGTTCTCTGCCGTATGCTGTAGCTTTATTACCAAAAAATGGTTTGTAAAGTAACGAAGTTATTAATTTGCTGCTACGAGTATTGGTTCTTCTTTTGAAAATTTCCCCGAAATTGGAAGCCGTTATGAGGTTTGAGCGTTCTTCACTCCATATGGGATTTGAATGTTGTCCTCTGGTATCCATCTCTAACGTTTCCCTTTCTATTTAATTTTTTTTAATAAGGAAATTATGTTATTTTTTTTTCTTGTAATTTCTGGAACATTCCATCTCGCTAATAAAATTGTTACAAAATCTACCACTAGATCTTGTACTACTACGTCCTCCGACATTATTATATGTATTAGCAATGATCAGAGCAGATCGCTAAATCGTAGTTCTTATGCGAATGAGAAGCTGGGGTATGTTTGTTGGTGAGGTCATTTTTAACGGCAAGACGACGCCAATAAAAATTATCTATAAATTATAGTAATTTCGTCTAATGTAGCAGTTATATTAAATAATATAATTTTGTAGATTGTTTAAAGGGTTATTTTAGATAATTTACACATTTCCTCTTTTTACTACTTAATATACAGTGTGTCCGTAAAGTAACGGATATAGACGATAAAATCTTAATAAACGGTTTATGAAAAAATCCCTGAAAGGGGTCTAAAGATTTAAATTTTTTGCAATTTTTTGGTGTAGATTTCAAATTTTTTCCGCCATTTTTAAACGAGTTATGGCGTCATCGATATTTTTTTTTTAATGGCATTCCTCCATTTTTATTACGGAATATGAAAGGGGTTTTTTTTCTGAATCTAGTACAGTCAATATTAATATTGGTTACATAAGAAAATTTTCGAGAAAAATTACTTTAAAGTTTAATTACTTCAAATTTGTATAATGATAACAATAGCAGTAGCCATGAGTAACTATTCACTTTAGCGCCGTAATGGAAAAGATTTTTTTTGCTTCACGGACGCTAACTAAAGATTTTAAAAATTAATAAAAAATGAAACTAACCTTTCAGTTGTTTGCTTTGTTATTTTTATCTCAAATTAATATCACATAAAAAAACTAAATAAATTAAAGAACAAAACAAATAATTATCTCTTATATTTTAAATTTTAATAAACACAAAAAAATTGACACATTTTAAACTTTTTATGAACAAATAAACCATTAAGTGACAATTGATCTCCTGAACAATTCTTCAAACGTATAGTGTCATATAGTGCAAAAAAGATAATTTAATATTTTTAATTTTTGTAAATATTAATCCTCTATCGGCCGAATTTTTATTTTAAATGCAAAAAAATTGGGGGAACGAAAAATCAGCAATTATAAACCTATACAGGGTGATTCATAAGTAATGGGCCAAATTGTAAATGTACGTTCAGGAGGCCAAAATAATAATATTTTCATTAACAATAATGGGTCTTAGTCTGCTCCTTACTGAGATACAGGATGTTAAAGCGAAAAAAATAAAATAGATTTTTGTTAATAGATCAGCTACTTTTCTACATAATGACTCATAGTTGACTTATAGTTTTTGTAAGGGTAAACAATAATGTGTGAGAGGATTTGAGTTAACTCGTAGATGTCGCCACATGCGCCATATGAATTAGATGAAATCAGCTACAAATTTTTTATCGCTCATTATTTTACAACATACTTGTTTAATTTGGATAGCCCCATCATTTCTGTAGAAAAAAGCTATACTTCTTTGATCTTGAAAATATTAACGATTTTCGAGATATTTGAATTTTACTAATTCACTACACTACATTTCACGGTGGTCGACGTAGCATTAATCTGTTAAGACACAAGCATGGCATGGAATGTTGACATTTACCTAACCGTAATTGATAATTGATAACAATATTAAACTGAAACCATAAAAAAATTACGTAATAAAACAATTTATTGTACGCCAGTTAATAAAACGAAATACAACATTAGAACAGACTTGAACTAAGACCACTTACGACAACTGTTATCAAAACCTACATGTTAATGTTGTGCGAAGTTAAATTAAATTTAAGCTTAATTATGAGCTACTGCAAAAGGTTTTCAACATGACCACCACCAGCATTTATACACGCATTTAACCGTTTGGTTAAGGATTGTCTGACTTTAAAAAATGTAGCAGGATTATTTCGTATTGAATTGGCTGCATCTTGAATTCTATTCCATAACTCGTCTCGTGTATTTATAGTAGGTTCAGCATAGACCATTGATTTCATGTAACCCCACACATAAAAATCAAGTGGATTAAAATCGGGACTGCGAGGTGGCCACTGAAATTCACTACCACGTCCAATCCAACGGTGAGGGAATGTTTCATTCAGATGTTCGCGCACAGCACGTGAAAAATGTGGAGGAGCACCGTCTTGCATGAACCACATATTTCTTCTTAGTTGTAATGGAAGATCTCCCAAGAGGTCGACTAAGTCATTATTTAAAAAAATTAAATATGACTCTCCATTTAAATTAGGAGGTAATTCAACTGGGCCCAGTAATGTATTGCCTATTACACCGCACCACACATTTATTTTAAACTCGTGCTGGAAATGTCTATCTTTTTTTAAACGAGGGTTTT